CTCCACCAAGCAAAGCATGAAGGATGGGTTTTGAACAGGCAGCTGTAGCACAGCTGACCTGCTTTTGGTTTAGTGCCATTCCCCAAAATTAGGGGGAGGGTTTGTATTACAATGCTCAGGGCTGATGCTGCCCCATCTGATCTGTTGTACACGTGTCTCTGGTCCCCTTGGACAGTGCTGTGGCATTTTCAGCCTTCCCAGCTCCTCAATTTTTTCTTCTCAAAGCCATTTCCACAGCTGAGGCTGATGAGACCCTATGTCCCCAGCCAGCTGTCACCAAATCCTATGTACAGATTTTCTGCCTGAAGCCTTCACTCAGGGTCACTTAGCATAGCTGTAGTTGCAAAGGAGAGGTTGTTGGCAGTCAGGTAATGTGCCATCCTGCGAATGCCAAATGACTTCTCTATCCCTAAAGGGGCAGTTGTGGCCTGCAGCAGGTGGCCAGGTCCCCACTGGGAAGTGGTGCCTTGGAGTAAGCATTGCTGTGAAATTGATGCTTATTTTAATATATTCATGGTGAGATGGTATCAAACCCTGTCTGACTGCTCCCAAGGAGCTCCTTCATGTCCAAGATGTCTGTGTGAGCGTGCCCTGTAGGACCATCACAAGATGTGACTGCAGTCAGAGTCAGTCTGGTGTTATGTGGCTTCCCCCGTGCTCTCCCTGGTATTTGGGATACCCATGACCCCCACACTGGCTGGGGGTGCTGAGGGAGAGGCAGCTTCCCCTTGCAGTATTGGAACTAAGGTGAGGCTTGATGTTCCCACAGCCTCTCATGGGCTGCTAAAAATGATGGATAAAAAATCAAGAGCAACCAAAAATTTTGTAAGCTGAGTGAAGGCTGACTGCCACCCCCAGCCTGGTACCAGATGAGATAGCTTTCGTAGTCTCTCTATATGTCAAGTTCCCTTTTGGTGGGTGGGATTCACAAGGAGATGCTGAGGGCATTGGGGCCCCCTTGGTCCCTGGTGGGAGAGCAATCAGTGCCCATTGTTAGTGCAGCCCCAAGGCTGCTGAACGAGGCCCTACGGCTTTGGCACTCCGGGACGAGCTGGTGTTGGGTTGCAACACTACTGCTCTTCATTGCTGCAGGGAAATGTGGGTGAGTAGAGGCAGAAGAGGCAGAAGTTGTGGTCTGAGAAGGTGGGGCAGGGCAGGGCAGCAGCACCCAGCCTCGCTCCTTGCATGTCCACAGCTCCCCTTCCTCCAGCCCCAGGCTCCTGCCTTGCTCACAGCACAGGGAAGAAAGCACTCAAGCAGCGGCTGCCACATCTGCAGCAGCTGCTGTAAGCAGGCACAGCTTCCCTGGGGTCTCCTATCTGGCATGGCTTATTTCCCCAGCCTGGGTGTCTGGTGGTAGCAGCTGGCCATGGCCCAAAGCATCCTGCTCCAGCTGGCTCTGCTCCCACTGGTGCTTGCACTGGGCAAGGTCGGGGATCCCTGCCAGCTTCGACTGGTCTGGGGTTCTCCAAAAATTCATCTGTTTGGAGAGCATGCAGCTTCTCTGGAGAGCAAATCTCCTTATGGGCCTCCTGTTTCCCAGTAATGACTCCAGCCCGGGGAACAAAGTAAATCTTCTGCAATATGATGTATTGGTTTGTCCTGTGATCAGCCACAGCTCTGTGTCCTTGGCCCAGGCCAGTGGCACTAAATCACAGCCTTCTCTCTGCAAATGTGCACAAATGGTTGATTTGGACATGTTTTCTGTCAGCTCTATTAAATAATACAATGGGCCTCTTTCAGCCTCCTGCCTTACCTTCACTCACTCGCCACCCCTCTATCTCTTGGGCCTATATTCCCCTCACCTCACACAGATCTGATGTATCAGCATCCTCTCCACCACCTGCGTGCTGCACAGGAGCTCAGTGCAAGCTGGTCCCGTTGGCTTTCACATCCAGAGGGCTGTGGCACCCAGACCAAGCACCACAAGGGTGTGGAGTCACCGCAGTGTGGCTGGGCGAGAGGGTGAGCATTTAGTGCTCAGCTCACAGAGTCAGGAGACCTAGCTGGAGTTCGACATCACCAGCCCTGGGGAAGCAAGTCCTGATTTGGGTGACTGGGACTGTCACCTCTAACCCACCAGAGGCTGTCAGTGAGAAGAGGCTGAAGAAGTGTTGAGGAAAGATTCGCTTTAGTGGGGACAGATTAGGCACTGGATGCAGAGAGTTGGTAATATTTTTTCCAGGAAACCTCATTCTTCCTCAATCTGCTATCTGCTAAAACCATTAAAAAGCCAATTCACAAGCAGTTTCTATCAGAGAAACAATCACTTGTATGAAGACTTAAGTCTCTCATTTCCCGTAATCCTTCATGAAATTCTGCAAAGCCCATGTGGAGGCTCTTGGCATAACATCCAGCAATAAACTGCCCATTAATGAAACAAACTTCTGTTGGTGCTTGCCCAGAAACCTTACCTTGCAGGTTACTGTAATTAGAGTTGATTTCAGAGGGAAAAAAATGTTACCAGCTGCATATTAAAACTGATTCCGACTGAAGCTTATGGTAACGCTTTCAGTAAGAGAGTCTTTCTTTCAATCTGTATTTAGAAGCATTTGAGTGCCACTAATAAAGAAGTGCTCCTGGTTTTTGATTAATTACAGGTACCCTTCTGTCCTTCTCCCCAGCAAGAATACTCTACTTACAGTTGATGCTTACCAAACACAGCTAACAACATGTATATTTCCATGGCCTCCCTGGAGGCTTAGCACACTGCCAGGAAGAATAATATGGATGAAAAAGGACCGTCTCTGCCTATGCTGGTGCCCCAGAGAAGGCTGGTGGTGCCTATGTATATAGTGAGATGACGGTCATTACTGTAGGTTACAAATATTGGTGGATTAATAGCATCAGATGCTGAATTATTAGCTGAAGAAAGCATGATTTGAGGCTACTACTTCCTATTAAATCAAACTCGGCTCTTCCCAGAAATAACAAAAAAAATCAGGGGAAAGAAAGCACCTGAGCAGAGGGGGAGACTAGTGCTGAGATAAGGAGAAAGCAGGAGTCTCTTTTAATGCAATAATAGTAACATAAATACTTTAAAATACTTCCCTAGTAGCTAAAAAGAGCACACTGCTTTACTTGTCATCATTGCCAGCACACAAACCAGTTACAAAGATAGTTTTCTTCTTCTGATTGCTTTGCAATTACAGGTAAAAATTGTAAAGTAATTGAATTTCATACAGTCTCATCCAAAGACTTTGAAACATGATTATCTGTGGTGATTGACATATCCCAAGTGGTGAATTATTGCACTAGAGACATGTGTGCAGCTCTTACATACAGCCAGTCAGGAGGTGTGTGTCTGGCTTGAGCAGCTGAATTTTAGTCCTTACTGAGAAATGGTGCAGTCTAGGCTGGAACCTGGCTGGAACGAATTGTGGGAGCTTCTATACTAGTGGCTGAAGTGAAAATAATACCCACGAAAAGGCTCTAAGTGATGATAAATATGAGAGGTAACTCAATAAAGAGCATTTGAAACCCCCCACACATACATCCATATGGTGCAACCAGCTCTCTTTTCCCACTTCCAACCTGCATTCTTTGTCCTGTAGGTTCACAGGAGCAGACTGGGAGTGTGTCCGCTCACAGATCAGTTCTGCAGATTAGGAGTATCTGCCTGAACTTGGGTAGCCTGCTCCAGTGTAAAACAAACCACAATTTAGAAGTCCCAGCAAAAATGCCACTGTCACAGAAATCAGGAGTGTAACTTCCATTGCAGGCAGTTCACTTCCGTTTGGGTCACTTCAGTACCTCACTAACACAAACACCAAAGAACTCCCTGAGCATGAGGCAATTTCACATCTGCTGGGATAATAAAAACCTTCAAGTCTAAAGCACACAGTGCTGGAGCTTTTAGCTGTAATGTGCCACCCACTGGCCTCTGCCATAGTGTATTGCAGGAGGCTGACAAGGGCGTTGGAGCAGCGTCAGCCATGGGGGAGGCTGTGACATCAGACAGGCACCACTGGAAAGGCTGGCAGGTACATGCTGGGGATGGGGCACTGCTGGGAAAACAGGGATGTCCTAATTTGAGTCAGCATGGGCCATTGCTGGTGTGGCATAATCTGAACTGGCTTTGTCACACTGAGTGAACAACTGTGCCTTAGAAACCACTGGTAACAGCTGAGCTTTCACCAAATCACAGCTGTTACTCAAATAAATTATAGCTCCTGTGGAGATGAATATTGCAGCTTAAAAAATAAATACTAGGGAGTTTGCTTTGACATTAAATTGAGGCAACCTAAAAAAGAAAATCTGCTTATGTCAAACCTTAGGAAGTGGGCAGTGAATTGCCTAAACAATAGTTACATGTTTCAGAAGTTGGGCTGTGCAAACCACTTCCCATGGGTGCAATTTATACATATAGAAGACAATGCTATGTCCTTCCAAGTACAGAAAAGTCCACTGAAATTTCTGAGGTGCTATTTTTAAAATAGCATAGCTATAAACCTCAAGCTGTTGAGCAATGTAGACCTTCTTTTAAAAATGGCTCTTAGCTTCAAGAATAAAACCCAGCAGCAAACACAACCACTAGTTTGATGATGAGAGCAGAGACAAAGGATGGTGACAAGTCTTATCCAGGCTGGGTGAGACACGCCCCTTCTACAAAACGTAGAAATAAAAAAAAAAAGACATTGTGGAAATAAGGGCAGTGAATCTTTTAACTGCAGACTCCAAGGGGAAAGCACAATATATTAATTTTAGAGAAGCAAATCTCCTGCTCTGTTTCGGGAACAGTCTCTAGCATAGCTTTTGCCCAAGCCCAGTTTGTAAGGAAGAGGATCCCTGCACACAGCCAGCTGGATAATGCCAGTGCATACACACACACAGTTTTTTATACATATACATACATACATACATTTTTATGAGATATACAGAGAGAGATATCTCTGTAGAAGTAAAGGTGTATGGATCTATAAGTAGATGTCAGTGACACAATGAGTCGCCCTACCGCCTTGACTAGGAACTTTTTAGAAGGAAATTCTATAACCTAGAAGCAATATTATCGGAAACTTTTATTTTGTTGTGATTTGTGACTTCACAAAAATACTGAACAGGAAAGTAGTTCAAATTTTTAGTTTGCAGACAGAATACAGAAACACATGAAAGATTTGTTAGTATTAACAGCCAGAGAGTGAATCAATAGATCTGCTGTGGAAGGAAAACTCAGCATTTTTTTAAAATAATAAATTAGTTCTTTTTAAATTACATTCTATTCTATGTGTGCAGATGTACATTTTCTGTTGTTTTCCATTTTTTTATTTAGTATGAACACACAGAAAAGGCGAGTTTGTCTGTTAAAATGGATAAGAACCAGACAATAGCTCTGAACTAAGACCCACATCAAAAATGTTTTGAAGTGAAACGGCATCTTTCCACTACCTTAAAAGAAGCAAAGTCAATCCCAAAGTACAGAATCCTATGGATATATGGTGAGAAAGCCAATCTAATTCCTAATGCTTATATTTACTAGGGTATTGTAAAATCCTGTGTTAACAGTTGGATATTTATAGAAACCCATATTTAGAGATAGCAGTAGTTAGACAGAAATCCATAGGTATTAATAGTTTAAAGCAAACAAACAGCAAAAATATTTTTTGTCCAACCGGGCTAGAAAAATAAACATGCCAAGTGAATGAAACACACTGAGAACAGAACAAAACTTCTGTGTTCCCCCCATGCCATTCTAGTTGGTCACTGCTTATCTCTCTCCTTCATTTTATCAATGTAGTTCAGCACCTCCAGAGTCCTTTTGCCAGCCAAACTCAGGTACTCGGCTTCAGAAGGAAGGGCAGCAATCCCTGCCGCGCTGCCGGCGCCCGCGGGCTGCGGTATCTCCTGCGCTGGCAGTTCGTCTTCTCCCGCGGTGCCGGCGGTGCGGGGAGGAGGGACCCCGACTGGGCTGCGGGCTGCGGGCAGGGAGCCCCCACAGCTGCACACCCGCAAGGTGCCACACTGGGTGGCCACATCCGCCTTCTCTACTTCTGTCACAGAGCGCTCAGTCTGCGACCAAACATCACGCCTGGTGCTGCGAGTGACGTGCTCTCCCTTAAGGGCTCGGTGTGATGAGCTGCCCTCGGATGGGGCAGCGTGGTTTTTACTTTCCTCCTCTGTGGCGCAAAAAATAGAGCCTTTCTCCTGAAGAATGTTTGGTTCTTCTCTACCCAAACTACTGCTGGGCTGGAGAGGCACAGTTCTGGTGTGGAAGCTCTTGGGCGCCTCTCTGCTTGCTGAGAGGTTGGCATCATGTGTCTTCAAGGACTGTTCATTCAGATATTCCGTCTTTTTGGCTGTGTCTTCCTCTTCACACTGTTTGAACAGAATTGTGCGATTGCAACTGTTTAAATAGTTCAATAGCTAAGGACTAAGTTAATGACTAACTAATAACTAAGTTAGTCAAATAAACAGAAACGCCAGAGCGGTCTGGTTTAGGTTGTTTGTGGTTTTTTTCATTCTTTCCCCAAGGATGTACTCCTGGCTTTCGGTGGCCAATGCAGACCTTCACACTTAACATGCAATTTATACTCACACACCATGACGTTTTTGTGTTCAAGAATGGCTGAAAACACTGTATGTCAAATCTGTCTGCTTTACAGGCATGTAATGTAGGGCAGCTATACACAAAGGAAGAGCACAGAAGCTTGCTTAGCATCTTCCCACAATCATGCTACTGTAATTCCACATGGCCAGGCATTATCAACAGAACAGACCATGTCTGTTAAACTACTTAGGAAAATTTACAGCTAATAATTTCTTGTCCTCCTCACACCTGAATTTGCCTTGTACAAGGCAAAACCATAAGTAAGATTCCAGCTACATCCACCCTTAGATGCCCTCAGGCATGGATATATGATTTGAATGGAGCCCTGCCAACCCTCAAAGGTTGTGGGGTGTACTCACTGTGTCAGGACTACAGCTCAAATAGCTCTCGGTCTGTCTTGGAGAGTAACTGTAAGACTGGTTGCTGAGTGGTGACTCCATATCTTGAAAAATAGATGAAAAAGAAAGGCTACTCACCAGAGACTCCCCAAAGATCCAATTCTCAAGTACAGCATGTAGAATTAAACATTATTATTTCTGATGCAGTTTTAAGATACTGTTTAAAGAATAAAATGTTAGCAAGTTCAATCTAGGCAATCTAAGGCAGTAGCCAGTTCTTCTCCTCTCAGGAAAACATATCTTAGCAGAAATTGTGAGACAGGTGCCCCAAAGCTTCAGCTGTGCTGTTAATCAGCAGCTGCACCAGCAGCAGAACTGTGCTACCCAAAGGAAGAAGGACTCTGCACAGCAAGAGCTGTGAGAGAACACAGCAGACTCCACGTGCACACTGGCTGTCATACAAGTTACATGCTTTTTTCTTGGAGGCCCATGAGAGATCTTCTGCTCTGAAATGCAGCCAGCACAGTTGACCCTACAGCTACAGCTACCAAGGGAGCTGACTCCCCTCCCTCTGTCCACATGTGGAATGACAGCATATAGTCTAATGGAAGAGAATCTCTATTCAAGGAAAAGCAAACACAGATTAGTTACCTGGTAATGCTCCTTGTCTTTTTACAGTGCTGTATGAATCAGAAAAACTAGCCCTCAACAAATGTAACATCCCAAAAAGATCATTCTCCCTGGCTTTAAAAGTAACTGTTTCAATTTCACGTGGAGAAAAAAAAAAGTAATAATATATAAATGGTACTAACTTTTCTCCATCTCATGAAGATTTGAACTTGCTCCAAACTTAGACTCTTTCTCTTGTGCTCTTGTAAACTGTAAAAAATAATGAAGTGTTAATAGTGAGGGTTCAGCTGGATCAGCATCTCGGGTTAAGAGGAACATTCAGTTTCTGTATCACATAAAGGAGCCACTGCACTGTACCACAAATTATTTTAAGAGGTATTTGTACCCTGAGCAGTACCATATGTACCTGGGTGACTTCTACAGGCAAAACATCTAACAGACTTTTTATATGTATACTGGCACAAAGCTCCTTTACAATACTGTAGCATCCTGCATATAATGTCTGCCTGCAGAATTTGATCCTAAGGGTTGATGGGTAACTTACACAATGTATTTCAGGCATCAGCTGAGGTGTGAAACAAAGCACGTGAACTGTGGACCTGAAAAGGGCTGTCTATCTGAACCACTTCACTAGAAGCAATTCTTTCTGAATTCCTTTTATAAACCATGATGGCAAAGAAGCTTCCACAGAAGTCAATTCAGTAAAGCTATATTCAGTTTCTAACCATTGTGGATATTCCTTCTCCACCTCAAATGAACATTGCAAACAGTAGCTTTGGCAAAAAAACATGTCTCTTTAAAAAGTTACCTCTTCAAATCCAAAGAGCTGGTTCTGTCTCCAGCCTGTTTCTTTCATGGACTCGTCATCCCTGAGGAATGCAAACACAAAGTTCTCTGTAAGTGATTTTTATTTTCTTTCTGATTTAAAGTCCTCACTTGTGACTTTTCTGTCTTCAATTTTTATTTTGTCTTCAGTAACCATAAAATGCTTTCCGCTATTGAGATGACTGAACTTATTTCTGAACTGAGATTTTACACCAAGAATCTGTTTTTCATAAACTTCATTTCTGTTGAAATGCAAAATGGAACTGGAGAGATGGCAGAAGATAGTGCTGTTTTGTACAATGGAAGATATTATGGATCTTTGAAAAACACATCTTTTGTAAAATATGGGGCACTCACATATGCTTACTTTAGCCCAAGGAAGATACTAATTTCCTCTGCAGCCAGTGGAATGAGATAGAGTCTTTTAGGGGGCAAGCCAAAGCAAGATCTTAATCTCTGGAACTCAAAACTGTCCCATGAAGCAGTATTTCTCTGTACTTACTATAGGCAGATGAGCAAAGGTATAAGGGGCTTACCTGTGCATAAGTTTATTCACATTATACACTGCTATTTTCACTGGGAAAACTTGACTCCTTGGTAATACTGTTTAGAATTTTACCTTCCTGTCCTCTTGGCAGGATTTCTCCAATTCAGCAAGGTCTCTGCAGTTATCAATAGTTAATAGTTTGATAATTTCCATGGCACTCACCTTTTTTTTCTTGAATAATTCTGCACATTCTCCTTTAAGTTAATCTGCTGATCATGGTGATAAGCAAATGTCTCTAAAATAAAAAAAAGTAAACTTTGATTTTAAAATGTAATACAATAAATGCAATTTGAAAGCAAAGCTTTCTGTCAAGTTTTTAAAACAAATAATTGGATTTAAAATTAAGTTATTGCAATCAGAAAATTCATGGAATGTTTTCAGTCAGGGCAGATATGTTTCTGGTTATAAGAATATATGTCTTTAAAAGGAGAATAAAACCTGGAATACATATCCTTTAAATCTTGATACGCACCAATTTTTTCGAGGTTTGCATGTTTTTCTTTCTTTTCACAGGGTATGAAGTAGTGCTGTCCCTCATTGAAGTTCTGCAGGTCGGTTTTATGAAGTCCACTGGTTTCCTTGTAGCTTGAACTTGAGTCATTGTCACTTTTAAGGAAAACGAGTTCTGGAGTTGTGAAAATGCCTTCAAGGTGTCTGTCTATGGAACTTTTTTTTTGACTGATTGCAGGATAAGCCTTTCTAGTGTTGTAAGGATAATTTCTGTCAGTCATTTGATTTCTAACATCAGAATGGATGAAAAAAATGTCAGTACTGCTTTGGTTAACAAAAAGATTAAAATGCTTTGTGGAAGGATTACTATGGATTGGTTGGCTCTCATCTTCAAACAGTGCCAGAAAGGAACAACCACTTCCAACTTGGGGAGCTTTCAGTTCTGTGGTTTCTTTCACAACATCAAATACCGGTGCTTTTATTCCCTCACAGTTTTCTGATTCGTTACTGGTCATTATGACTGGATTTTTCCTGGCAGCATTCATATGGTCTAGCCTGGGGGTGGGGGGTGAAGTGGAGTGGGGGTAGAGAAGAAAAAAAACATTTTGCTTAGTATGCAAAGAAGCAAAATGCTGACTGCTAACACAACACTTTATGATAACTTGATGACAATCTCAAAGACTTCACTACTCATCACACTTGTTTTTGTCCTAAATGAGCATTATTTCATCCGAAAAAATATGTATTTTATCATATTTAGTTTTTATTTTACAGTAAGATTGATTTAAAAGGGGGTCTGTTTCATAATATCTCAAAATATACCAAGCCATGGAGCACATCCTCCTGGGTGTGATTTATAAAAGCAGCCACAGTATGTCACTGCTGCTCCACCAGCTAACCAAAGGCAGCAACTTTGGGGAGGGGATAAAAAAAAAAGAAAAAAAGAGGAAGATAGTTTCCTCTATTCATGAAAGCAGTTTGTTCCTCAAGATTACAGTTCTCTTGTGTACTGAAAAGCCTAATAAGCTCTGTGTACTGCTTTATTCCTGGTCTCTCTAGCAAGTGACTTCCATTTATACTTGAAATCAGTAATCCTGATTCAGCACAGAACTCCTCCATTGCACTGTCAGGTGGCCAGTCAGACATTTTATTTTGCCCAGACTTCCCTACCCCACTTCTGAGAGTAGTGGTTTTGAAGATGTTATCATGCAAACATCAGGGGCTTGAAAGTTGTCATGCTTTCAGCTACTTGGCTCTTAATCTAACATTTTCACTGTATATTTTCCAGGCTGGATCTGCTGACTGACCTTTCAGAAACTCTGAGCAAAAAGTTGAGAGTCTTCAGAAGCACAGAGAATTGGCAAAGAAGGACATTCAAAAAATGACCTTTCTTTAAAATGTTTTGAGCAATGCTGTCAATGGAACTTGAAAACTGAAATGTAGTACAGAAAACTTCTGTGGTGTTCTGTTCAGCAAATACTTGGAACTGGATAAAGATTCTATAGTACTTCAATGAAGTAGTTTCCTCTGCTTACAGAAGCCTCCCCAGAACAGTTTTAAAAGGTTAACCACACTAGAGTTTGTTCCTGGAGAAATTTGGACAGATATATGTGAGGAAGGTAAAACTATTTTGTGAACCAATTCAGAGGGTTCTTCTTAATTCCAGCTGAACATTTTGTAATGCAAAGTAAAAGTTAAGAGTAGATGAGAAAATAAGACATATAAAATTTTTAGTTAATATTTAATGCCACACCTCTCAGAATTACACACATTGATTACATCATCAGTATGTTACATTAAACAATTGTATAAGTTTACACTCTACTTTTCACCGTGAAAGAAACTCCCTTCACAAAAGAACTGCCATCTCTGGAGGTATAAGAATTTATGGCTACAATGGATGAAAACAAAACAAGGACAATATAAAGAAATGGATTTGAAGAACAGTTGGAAAGGAGATGTTGTTAGTGAGCCATAAATGGGTAGAAGACAACAGGAGGTGCCATAAGCAGATGAGTGCAGGCCTGACGGCCAGGGGAGAAATGAAAGGGGAGGTGTAGGTGCAATAAGGTTATGTAGGGCTTTAATGTAAAGATATTAATGAGGAATTGTCCCAGATATACAGCAAGGTGAATGTTATCCTCATTTTAGTTTTTGCTGGAGAAAACCAGGAGAAGCTACAAGAAAAGTGAAAGTTAAGGTGGCTGAGAGGAAGCTAATGTGCCTGGTTATCATGTGACCAGTGAGATTATCAGTCACTTAAGTCCCCAAGCAAACAGGCTGTAGGTACTTCAGGAGCAGTAAAATATTATATGGTCTTTTTATGACTCTATCGAGCCAAAGCTAGACACTGACAGGAACTTTCAACCAGATGGCACACTCATAGAATAAAACGAGTAAAGAAAGATGTACAACCCCTAGATCCAAGGGAAGAGTCCCTGGAAAGAAAATTATATAAAATGTTCAGTACAAATGAGTCTGGCCCTAAACCATCTATGATGAGAAATATTTTTAATCAGCACATACAAACAGAAACATATTCTTGATTTCTAACCATTCTTTAAAAAACAAAGTGCATATTCCCATAAAAGTATTATTGAAACAATTATAGGGGAAAAGAGCTATAGTAGGATCACATATGAAAGAGTAGGAAAGAAAATGCTTTGTTCCTGGAATCCCAAGTATAAACAAGTAGGTGGAGTTGCTCAACTGCTGCTTCATCAAGGTCATCAGAAAAGCACTTGAAACAGTGACCAGAACTAATGAGACCTGAGGCAGCTTCACTCTCCTTGTGGCTTCTTAGTAAATTTGAGCTATCATTCAAGGTGAATTCAGTAACACTATCATGTTTGTGACATTGAAAAAATAGATCATGGTTCTAAATGCCTACCCAAAATTCAGATTTTGCTGCCTTTCAGCAAATTTAAATAGCTTTGTATGTTTAGTCTTTCCATTTGATTTCAATTTCTATTTGAAAAGCACCAAAAATCAGTGAAAAAGACAAGTAGCAATAAGCTTCAGACAATCTTAGTATTTTTCTCAATTAAACTTGACTGTTATTTCCCTCTTTAGTGTAAAATCACTGCCTACCTATGAAATGGTTCAAACAGTTCCTGAAGCACCGTATCAGACTTCCTGAAAATACACTGGCTTGGAGGTTTAGTATTCCAAGAGTCTTGATCAAGACTATTACCTGGCTGAGAAAACAGTAGAAGCTGTCAAACTCTGAATATACATAATGGCTATAGTCTTTAAAACTTTAAACTTGAGTTTGCAAATAATATATGCGTTTTCCCACCATTTTTACTTCTTTTTATCTTTACAGTAGAAGCCCAAACCTGCTAACAGCCCAAATGAGTTCTGTATAACTCGTACTTTTCCATATTTGCATATCAATGTTAATATGCAAAATGTCCTTTTAGCACCCCATCCTCCCATAGTATGAACAAGCTTGATAGACTGTAACAAGCTGAAGTTCCACTGAAGATGACAGAATCAGAAAATCTCATCTGGAAGGGACCTCAAGAGTCATCTAGTTCAACCTGCTTAAAACAGGGCCGGCTTCAAGCTAAGGCCATATTGCTCAGTAATGTTCAGGACAACCACCTACTGCATGGCCTCTTCTTGTGCTTAGCCAGTTTCGTGGCTATTTTTTATCCTCTACAGACAGAATTTCCGTTGTTGAAACTTGTGACTTCTACCTCTTGCCATTTCACTGTGTACCTCTGGCTCTGTCCTGCCTGTAGCTCTGTTTGGACTGTAGAAGACACTGGTTAGTTTACCCACTATCCTGGTCTTTCCCAGGCAATGAAAACCCTCTTTGCTCACTCTCTTCATAATCACCATCTGCTCCAATCCCCTAACAATTTATGTGGCCCATCATTGGTCTTGCAACAGTTTGCTCATTTCTCTCTAGTACTGGGTGGGGCCCAAAATTTGACACAGTATCTCAGACGTGTTCTCACATACGCTGCTCAGAGCGAAATAATCACTTGCCTTTGACTGTTGGGTGTGCTCATTGTAGCAGCATGTCAAGGGAGGTGACTCTGCTCCTCTACTCTGCCCATCCCTCCTTCTACACTTCCTCTTTGCATTTGAGCTCAGTCAGGAGTTCCCTGATTCAGCCAAACTGGCCTCCGGGACCTACTCATTCTCTTGCACATTAAGGTAGACTGTCCTTGTGTTTTGAAAGCATCTTTCTCGGGCTCCTTTGTTCTTCAGGTCAGGTTCCTCTGGGTTTCTGCTTACTCATTTTCTGAACAACCCAACATCTCCCATTCTGAAGCCCTTGAAGCACTTCTTCCTCACTTACCTCAAGACTTTATAATACCACTGATGATACACATAGAATTCGTTTTATTATTTCCAATTAATAATATATTTTCTAAAAAATAAAACATATTGTATTTGCTGTTACTTTTCTAAGGATGACTATTTTAAGAATCCTGAAGTTAACAAAAAAAAAATAGTAACATGCATCAGAACAAATTACTCAATTATTACTTAAAGGTAATGACTTAAAGAGCAGGCTTTTCTCGATCCTTTTAGAGCACTGAGAATACTGTAAGAACTATGTTACTCACACTGCAAGATTAAAAATTAGGTTGTGGGATCAACTGGGATTATATGACACCCAGTTACACCAGCTGTATGTTTAAGAAAGCTGTATCTACAACTATAATACACTTCAGCTTTCTTTAACCAAATTTACAAGCCAGAAACAAAAGAAAGCCAGCAGCATGTGACTAATTCTCTTTCTGCAGATATCAGCAATGCTGAGAGCTCAGTGTTAAGCTCAAGTTAAGCTTATTTCAGAACAATAAAACAAATATATTTGTATATATGGACTATTCGTTGCCACCAGCCTACAAGAGATGTTGATCATTTATAGTTATCTTCACAATTACACTCTATCTACATACAAAATAAATGAAAGTTAGTTTAAAATAATTCTGTGGAAGTAAAATGTTAACCAAACCTGCTTTTGCAGCTTCTCTTCATAGGTCTGTTCCCAAATGTTGCCCATTGGGTTTGTGTTGAACTTTTCTTCTGGAGGCTGTGTACAGTTAGAGGACTGAAAACCCTAAGAAGACAATGAACAAGCAATAAAAGCTCTTGCTCAGTTGTCTTCTTGTTCCATACTAGAGCCAACATACAGTAATTCAGTTAGTTGTGAAAACTAGACAAAACACGTCAAAGAGAATTTTATCAGAAACTGTTTTGATTTAAGCATAAAGTGCAAAGTAATCAAGCCTTTCTATATCTTTTACATCTCTGCACATATACCACAAGGAAGAGAAAATTTTTGTGTATTTGAATGTCATGATACAACTTTTTCACAAAACACATAAGGCTATAAGGGCTTATTTCAGGGAAATACATAAGTACCTACTTAATTTGAAGCATGCACACAAATGTTATCCTGCAGAGACATGATATAAATACATTTTTAGCATAAGGTTTATAGGTAAATGATCTGCTGAATTGGTTCTGAGACTTGCACTTAAGTTCCTCTTAAAGACTCACTTTTGTTTATGCTTCTCACATTCCATCATTTCACATTTCTGTTTTTTTTTAATTTACCTGCTGTTGGCCTCTGTTCCTTTCCCATAAGCTCTGTTCTTCATGACTAGCTTAGAGCACAGATATTCTGAAATAATTTGCAAAATGCCTAAAACAAGATGAGCCTTTCCAGAAATATGTAAGCAATCGCAGGAACAAATATAAAATGTGACTGCAAAATAATATACCAAAATAGTCTTAAAGAGAAAGACTTCACATATTTCAGTACCAATTAGATTTGGTCACTCTTTTAAAAATCACTTAAAAATACAGCAATTGCTGAACAATATTAGTTTTATATCATAAGAAAAATAAACCTACATTATGCTGGTATTTTACTTTCTCTGAGAGATGCTGCCTTCTGCTGTCCAGTACTTGCTTTTGTAACCTTGTAAAATGAATAAAAACAGCCTTTGAAATACAAGATCTGTAAGATTAAAATATTCTGAGTATTAATTTCAAAATAATTTAGGAATATTTTTCCACACATCTTACAAAGGTCTGATTCTTAAGCAGTTGTGAGCAGCCTGTGTGTGATTCGGTCAGGTCAGGGTCTGAAGCTGGATGGGAAAGCATTGTAAGTGGATAATGCTGTCTGAATAGCCTGCTTCTCAAGATAATACTAGCGTATGTACCTGACATGAGTAAAAACACACTACCTTTTTTTAAAAAATCTCTCAGCTTCATGTGCAGTGTTTTATTCAGATCTATTTATTTACTCTCTCACAGTAAGAGTATCACTGGAATGCCAGGAGTGATTGTGAAACTCCCTGTTTACTACGGTATGTATATGGTTTCTTAATACTCCAAATATAAAACCATCATGAAATACCTTTTCCGGAACTTCATTTTAGCATAACTATTGCCTATTTTATACAAGTACCTGTTCTGGAGATCATCTAGATTTGACTTATGTTGTGTACGTAGTGGTGATGTGGGAAGCTCTAAGTTGTGTCTCCCAGGAAGTTTTTTTACATCTTCAGTGATATCCACGTGGACTGGCTTCCTCACGTTCTCTGCAATGAAATTATTCAGTATGTCAGAGCTGGGCTTGGAGAAAGTTTTGAGGTTCCTGAATTTTCACTTGAGTACAAAAGCTGTTGTTTTAGACTTCTTAATCCATTTAAAACCATACTTTTTCTTTCTTTTTCACTAACAATGCAAAAACTCTATTCTAAATGGCATGATAGTATAAAATTATTCACAGTCAGCTGCTGTGTGTGGACAGGCTCTGTTGCCCTCCTCAGTCACTTTCTACTTTTCCTCAGCATAGGACAACAAATTTTCCGCAATCTGGTTTATGAATATGTCACAGAAAATAAGAGTCATAGAGTCATAGAATTGTTTAGGTTTGAGAAGACCTTAAAGATCATCGAGTCCAGCCATTAACCCTGCATTGCCAAGTCCACCACTAAACAATGTCTCTCAGTACCCCATCTGCAGGTAAAGAGTAGGACTGAAGTTGCAGCCACGTTTCTTTAGAAGTTTAATAACAGATTTTAAGAAAGATAATCTGAGTAGATCTGACAAGATTATTCCAAATGCCCAAATGAAAAAGGAATTGGATTAGAAATGGACCCATTCAATGGCAAAGGGAAAAAGAAATGGATATAAGACAAAATTAATGAATAGAAAATGAGGAAGGTGCATAAGTGTATGTCGCAAACATTAACCCTTTCCTGGCCAGACTTGTACAAGTGTACAAGACTTTGAAGGTGACGTAGGCTGTAGCCAAGGTTAATTGATTCATCTTATGCCCTGACTTTTTATTCAGTCATAATTTTTGTACTTAGTTACAATTTTTTATTTTAAAAATAAAACAACACTTATTTGAACATTAAGTTACAAGTGGAAGAACAAGAACAAAAATAACAGCAGTAATAGTTAAGAATAACTGATTCTGAGAAGTCAGAACACTGTTAGTCAAAACTCACCAGTGTTGTCTTTTTTGGTTGATATCTGGTTAACCACATAGAGATTAAGAAGATCTAAACTGACTGCTGAACTTTTAGGAGATGATACTTCCAGAAGCTTCATTTTTGTTTTAAGTTTCTTTTTTTCAAAGTATTCCTTAAATTTTTAAAGGAGATAGTAAGTTTTTGACAAAAGCTTCAACAACAGACTAGGAGTATAGACAGATATTTCTTTTGAGATTAGCAAGCAAGACTTAGTGAACAATTCCTAATAATAAAAGCACATGATTAAGTACCTCTGAATTCTCACACCCTATTAGCAGTTAATTTATTTTTTATGGCCTTGAAAAAGACTGCAAGTATAATTTGGTCATATTCAGAATAAGTCACCGTTATCTTGATGCCAAAAATTTAGTCCTTAAACACTCATTTCTCAAACTTTGTGTATAATCACTAAAAAGTATGTCTTTCAAATAAAAGATAACAAATGTGGCAATAAAGAAGTCTTTAAAAATTTAAACTTGGGCTTTTTAGGCAACTTATAAGATAGTAGGCAAATACACTAGCAAGATTACATACATCAGATGTGCCATCCATAATAACACAGAGTTTATTGTTCTCCAAATTTGTCTTTCTTGACAAAGAAAATAGTCTTGTGGCAAAGAAAAAAAAAAAAAAGACAAATCTCTATGATTGGGACTTCAGAAAGACTTTTGTTGCAAGGAATAAAAAGAGATACAACTGACACTTTGTATATATCAAGCAGATAATTCTGGAAAATTTAGGAAACAAACCCCGTCATTTTGTAGAGACTTAATAACGATCCTAAAATCATTAGCATCAAGTACAGCAAATGAATAAAATAAAACAAGTAAGATTTATTTTTTCTAACTGCAAGAAGGATATTGAAAATTGAAGGCTATGCCAAAAAGAAAAAAAATAGCACTGGCTTTTCTTCTGAAATGTAATTCTTCTCCTGATTGTGGGTTACATGTAACCAATATACCCAACATGTTCATTGGTAACTAATTTTCAGTATAATTTATTATTATCTTTAGCTTTCTAGGCTAATTTCATCTGTGGAAAATATCTATTTTTCAGTTAAGAAGTAATATCAACCTGTGTACAAAGCAACACTTCAAAATTCATATTACTTTGGGGTCCACACCCCTAAGATGTATCCACTTCCCTTTAGTGTCCCAGATATTTTCTTCCCATCACGTCTAAATTACCAAATTACTAATAATTGTGTAATAGCAATTACAAAATTACCACTCTGTTTAGTAATTTAGTGCTACATTATTAAAAACAATCCTGACTTGGATCCTTCCCTTATTTCCCTTCTCCACTGAAGCAAATTACATAGTTGTAACATAAATTATGTGGTTTAGACCAGTTATCCCTGAGAAAATAGATATTTTGAGAACTCATAGGCCTCCAGGAGACTGGGAAAGCGATGAGGACAACAAGCTGCTGATTGGTCCCACATTCCCTTATGTAAACGTTCTTATTTCAGTGATTGTCTCCATACAGTCAGCCCGTTTCTCCTACTCCTCTGTATGCCCGTGCACCTGCTCTGGGCATTGGGGATACCAGCTTCAGTGGTGGAGCTTCCCTCTACTGCCTCTTTCTTCCCTGCTTAGGACACTGACTTCACTTACTGCAGTTATAGCCATTTTCTCTTACTGTTTTCTTCCTCTTTCCTGTTCGAAACATCTTCTGCTAGGGATAAGTTTGATTCCCTTATTTCACTTTCAGATTCAAAATACAAATAAGCTGGCCTGCTTTTGTAAATGCCAAATAAAGTACTTCAATGAGCCTAACACCCCTTAATACAGCCCAGAAGAATAGCTGTGTATGCATGCGTTAGGCCAGCTGACCATGAGGTTGTCACTGTGAGGCTTCAAGCAATCCCATGTGTCAGCACATACCATTGTAATATGGTAACAGAAGTAATTCAGTAAAACTTAAATTGGGCATGTTCATTCATTTATTCATTCATTCATGCCTTCTCTAGCTGCCTTTTCTTCCTGCTGGAATTCAGTGTAGTAAACCTAGCACAAGACTTTTGCCCTAAAAGTCAGGTAAAAATATTTCAACTGTTAAGTTACTGTTTAGAATCTCACTCTAAATGCTTTGAAAGTATTATCTAAGTGAATCCACTAAAGCATTTATATAACAATATAAAATCCAAGGTAGCTAAAACTGTTTACCTTTTGTTTTCTCCTTTCCTGCTTTAGTATGATTCTGCTCCTAAAAATGCAAATAATTATTATTTTAATCGCAAAAGTATAATCTTGAGTCACGGCTTGAATTGCTCATCAATGGTATTGAGAATTTAGGACACAAATATGTTATGTTATGTTGTGTTATGCTATGCTATGTTGTGTTGTGCTGTGTTCTGTTATGCTATGCTAATGTTATGTTATGTTACATGTTATGTTATAATGGATATTCAGGTAGTTAAGTCAATATATCTCTGTTGAAGTCACCTTGACTGATCTTGGTTTACTCAGGTAAGGATAGGACCACATTGTATATTAGGCTACTATACTGAACATGAAAAAGGAAAACAGAAGAAGCTTTTAATCATTTGACCTGTAATGCAACATTTCATCAATTTGTAATTTCTTAAAACTTAAGAAATCTTTGTCAATATATTTTTTCTCCTAATTTTCTTGTCATGCTGCAACATAGTTACAAAAACATATTAGCAAAAAATCCAAAGGAGCACTATACAAGCTTTTACCTTAATGGTACAGAATATTGTGAACCTTCCACAAAAAAGGTAAGAACAATAGTTTGTGACTACAAGGTGCTGTTGTTTGTGCACCCTAGGAGACAGTTATACCTTAAACTATGTATCTCACTTGTAAAACATAGCCTTAAATGAATTGAAATGGATTGTCTACAGGACACAGTGCACAAAATCGGATGTCATGGTCACTGCTGTGAGCAGAGTGAGCAGGGCTGCATTCCTTGGGTCGGTAAGATTAGGACTTTTTTGAGGGTTAGAAATATCGAATATCCCATTGGAATGACTTTTTTCCTGTTCTTAAGGTTAGAACAAACTTTCTAAACATGTACATAACATTTGCCCTTGCAGTGGGGAGAAGCCCCAGTAACACCTAGTTTTTCTGGCACCTCAAATGCAAATCCCAGACTCACCTAAGGAACTCTGACAGATACTGCCAGCAGCAGCAAGTAGCAGGTTGGTTTGTATTTGCTAAGTGTGTGCAAAACACGCTGTGTTTTCTTACAGAGGCTATGACAGACAGACATTTAGGACAACGTTGGGTTTGGTGTTTTGTTTTTTTTTTTTTTGAACTGAAGCTCTCCCTTCCCCCTGCTTCACAGGGGCAACATTCAGAAATCCCATTTTGCTGGGAAGACTTCCAGATGAGTAGGCCATTCTTTTAGTTTGATTCTGCATAGAGTCAGGAAGATTACAAAACTGTGTTTAGCAACACTGCTTCCCAGTGGCTGGCAAAATCTGTGGGGTTTACATTTCTAGTAGATGAGCAGATGGCACAGCACCTAAAGAAACTGAATGTTATCTTATTTATTTTTTTTTTAACATTACAACTCAGTTTGTGGTATTTTACTATTTCAGTGCATCTCAATACCTGTACATCTTTTTCTCCAAATGGCAACCACTGCTGTTTGTTAAGGGTGTGAGGAAAGGCCTCACCCAGCCCCTGCCTGTGGAGAAACACTGGGCCCAAACATGACAGCCCTGCCTGGGGTGGGAGGGCACCTTCACCTCCCCACACAGCCTGGCTCAGGAGGGGACTTGGGGCTGAAACACACACACTGCCGTGCTACTGGTCTGTGGGGAGACACTGATTCTGTCACAAACACCATGGCTGTGCCCACTCCGTAACGGGACACCAAGGTGGTTGTCACACACACTAAGGCTATGCTTGACTTGTGAGGGGACACCATGGCTGTCACACACCCCATGGCTGTCACACACCCCATGGCTGTCTCACCACACAAACCACAGCACTGCCCAGCCTGTGAGGGGACACCGACATCGCATGGAGCTGTTTCTGTCAGCCTTTGAAGAGTTTCACTCACCGACTACCACCAACCCAGTTCATTTTCTTCTGCTGAGGAGGGAGGGAGGGAGGGCTGGAGGTGGGGGCGATGCCCACGACAGAGATGGTTTGCAGCCCCCCAGCAGGGCCACAGGGCCCTCCTGCAGGGCCTCCTCCTCCCTGGGAGCACCAGGGCAGCTGCTCTGCATGTCCCCAGGCTAGCAGAGAAGAAGGAAAGGGTGGTGCAGGGACAGACAGCCAAAGGGGAAGGATGCAGAAAACCAAGCAAGGCAGCTGATGGGGAGGAAGTGATGCTCTGGTTGCTGCTGCTCTTCCTCTACCCACCATGTTTCCATACAGGCTGCTGCCAGAAGCCATTGCCCATTTGCAAGGGGGTCATGAACCTCTTGCTGTCCCAAGTGAATAGATTTGTCTTTCAGGGCCAGTTTGTCTTTGCTACAACCACCATACTTTTAAGGCAAGAGAAAAGCACCTTCCTCCCCATCCTGCTCTTCCTCAGGTAACTTACGGGCAACAGGAGAATCAATGCGCATTTTCTACTAGCAAGTGTTGTTGCCCTTGGGTCTGTCTGATGACCTTTTGTGTGTAAATGTGACAAACCCTCCAGGAGAGATGCAGAGCTGCAGGTGCTCCCTGTGCTCCCAGGGACACAGCAATACAGCTCCACTCGCTCCCTTCCCTGTGACTCCCTGCCATTGTTTCAGCAAGCGAAGGCACCCATTTATAAAACAATCATCAAATTTTACATGAATCTTTTCCTGTGGCATTTCTTTACTGAGTTATCTTTAGCCTAATGTTTCTCAGGGTACTAAAGTTTGCTTAGCATTAGTACAATAGTGGGAAGGATGCTCAGAGTAGATATTAGGAGCCTAATATTAAAAATGACCCAAGATTTTTTTCTTTGTAATACTTCTAATTTGATTAGGGTGTTTATAGAATCTGAATAGTATGCATATTGTTTATTGTAACAACACTAGATTAAAATCGTCACAATAAGTAATATCTATATTTTAAGTCTTTGTGACTCTACAGCTAATATGATAGATGACAGAATGAAAGGTTATTTAACTAATTTCATCACTTCAAACATTAATTTTTATTTTCAATTCCATCTAATGTAAATGTTTCACATGTTAATATTATGTCTAAGATGAAGTTTCATGCCTAACATATTCAAATCCCTTTTACTTTTGTTTTTCTAATATATCATGTTTTCTGTATCACCATTACCCTTACTTTTCTACAGTATTGTCTAGATTTAAAGAAAAAAGTGCACTTTTCTTTATGTTTGATTTATTTAGTCTGGTAGTTAGTAGTTATTTGTAGAATCCTGGAAAAGTGACATGGCAGCTTCAATTAATTATTTTTCAACATAAGAAAACTTCTCCTCAAATTATTTTCTGCAGATAAAGATCTTTCAAACATCCATAAAATAAAGAATCAGTTCTTTTTTGAGGAAGGCAAAGTAAACAATTAAATAAGACCTGAGACGTATATGACTATATTTCCAGTATCTGCATATTGTGCCTTGACTGTCAACATTTGAAAAGTTTGAAATAATTGATTTGGATTTCTGAGTGACATCATAATTTCCAAGAATTGCAGGTCATTATTGTTAATTTTTAAAAGGTCATGAATGAGTTTCATGGAGCTTAGTTGATTCTCTGGGAAGTGAAGTAAGTATAGAAGAAAGAGACTTTCTCTATGTGTCAAAAACTGAAGTTCAAAGATTTCCCCTTTTTCTAACTTTTACAGCCACCCTTCAGAATAACTGCCTCTCATGTTCTTTTGTTAAGAAAGTATTATACAGGATCTTAGTCAGAACAGCTTTCCAACCTCCATCACTGGAGTTTTCCTCTCTGATATGCTTCTTCACTATCAGATCAGCTCTAGATATGTGACATAGCAAAGCAGTTCAAAGTAGTGTACCATTTATCTGATGTAAGAATGCATTTCTACAGAAGGCTGGTGTTGAAGTGTTGACTGTGCAACTCAAAGAATCCAGCTTTAAGTAAGTTCTCACAGAACACCTATACAATCAAATAAGAGAGAAGGAGGTCTTTTGAAGATGAGTGGCTAAGTTAGGCTCCTATTCTATGCCCCAACACCCAGAAAGGAAGCAGCTAATTTAGATAATGAAACTGTGTGAAGTCAAAGTGTGCCTCTGTCTGCAGCATTATTGTATCCTGAAGGTTTGGACACCCTTCTTTCCCTAAGCAGGAGAGTTTTTCCCTTGAGTGAGCAGACAATGCTTATTTAAAATCTTATACTCACCAGAGCTAGCAAGAGAGAAACAGAGAGAAAATGTGTTTCCAAGAAATTTCTTAGAACTAACTGCAAATGGTTCTCATGTTCCTTAATGAATCTTCCACTTCCCAGCAACTCTAGTGTTCTTTATAGCAAAAGAAGGGACTACTAGAAGATGAATGTATAGTAAATGAAGACAAACCAAATCCAAACTGGGGTTTCTTACAGTTGAGTTTAAATATTTTACAACATTACTAACTTTTTTGATGCTAATTAAACATATTTTAACTTTGATTTTTTTATTTGATCTTGATATCTAGTGTTAGGTAACTAAATCCATCTGTAGAAAACTACATAAAAGATGCAGAGTAACTGAAATTCTTTTGAATCTCTATCCAGGGTGGGAATTTTCTGGTACTTTTAAATACCGGGATGCACTTATTTAGATCCCTAAATATTGACCTAATTATCTAATACTAGGAATACACAACTAAAAAAAACCTGACTGTTCCAAGTGGAAGTTTTCCTTTGGCAAATGCAGTGCTTAATCTTTGTTTACAGAGTTGCATGGTCTTCTTCCAGTCAGTGATCTATGTCCATTTCCTCCTCGAGAGATCAGTTTATGAAGAAATAAAGCAACACTATCTGTGGTGTTTTACACTAACCTGGTTGATTGTTCTGCCCTAAAAAGTTCTTTTTAAAAGATGACTGTGATATTGCAAAGTCATTGTAAGAGTCTGAGGAGGTTTAAAACAAAGGACAAAACTTGATTTAAAAACAAAGTTTCCCCTTTTAAAAGTAGCTCCTCTTGAAAGACAGATCTCTCTTTCAATTAATTTAATGAAAAGCCCTTCCTCTATTCACCTTTAAAGAGTGTAGAGACAGTAGATAGTAGAGAGGCTAAACAGTTTCCAAACATAGCAAACTGGTTAGCTCAGAGAGAAGCACTTAATCTGCCTGGGTCAAAATCCAATGCCCATCTGGGAAAAACATGGGATTCGATCTACATGGCAAACCACCAGCCAGGACAGTACCACTCACAACAGTAGGTTGACACATTATTATATGAAGCAGATGCTGGTATTATTTAGATGGAATAATTTTTCACTGAATGAACCCTCAAGACTAGGTACAGTCCTTGACTTGATGGAGAACAACACACGACATCTGTTTCAGAATCTCGTGCTGAAAACCCCATTTTATGAAAACAGTATTTCTATAAAGATTAAAAAAGACCAAAGAATCCTCTACAGATGTGCTAAACTCCAGTAAGGGAACAATGTCAGTCTTGTTAAGAACAGATTAGGAGAGGGAGCTAAAAGAACTAAATCTTTACATGTGCTAGGAAAAAGCTGAAGGATACCAGACTTGAAAAAAAGAAACAGTCTGAACCACAGCAAATAGCTATACTGCATTCAAAAGAAGACAACAGTAAGGAACATGAACTCTGAGAAACACAAAAATACAATTAGATAGGCCAAAAAGAATTTGGGAAACAACTAGGCAAAGGAACCAAACTACTAAATCATTCTTCTTCACATCAACTAGGAGCAAAAGCTTGCTAGAGGGCCAGTTGAGGGCCAAGGTAAAACATAAGTGCTCAGAAGAGACATGGATGTTACAGAAAAGATAAGTTAGGTTTCTTGCATCAGTATTCATTGATGAGGAAACTGGGGAGAACTTTATGCAGGAATCCTTTCTGGAGAACTCAGTGAGGATCAGTCCAAAGTGAAAATAACACCAGACAGTCAAAATCATCTTAACCAAGACAGAACAAAGACTAGCAAAGCACCAGGACTAAATGGTATTCACTGAAGAGTTCTATAATGCAGCACTATGACCATGTATAACTTGATTTTGGAGTCGTTTTGGAGACTAGAGGGTAGCAAACGTAACATTTTTGAGAAATAATAATTCTGTGGCAATCCAGAAAGCTTACTTCTGCATAAAAAATTTGCAGGAACTCTAATATAGGTCAGCATGTGAAAAGCTGACCTATAGTGTAGCTTCTGCAGATGGAATTTGCTGCCTCATAAACATGTAGAAAAGAGCGATTGCTGTAGTCTTAATGGATTTAATTAAGGCTGCTGACAACATCGGTTACTTAAGGTTTTAAGAAAACTAAGAAGCCATGAAACAAAAGGGAAGATCCTGTCATTGATTAAAATGCAAAAGAACGGGAGGAGAATATGTTGTTCTGGTATCGCTGTACTCCATGGCTGGGGGCTGATATGGAATAGAGGTTGACAAACTCCTGAGATGGGAAAGTTGCTGGGTGAGGGGAGAGTGAGAGAGAGTGAGGAAGAGTGAGCTCCACTGTTGAATGCCTCTTCCAGAACAGGTATAGGTGGCCACAAAGTGGAGCCTGTAGGAGTCAGGGTCAAATCAAGATGAAAGGAGGGATTCTTCACACATGATATAGTAGATCTGAGGAATTGCTTGCCACAGACATTATTTATATAAGAGTTTACATTATTTCAAGAGAGACTGGACAAGTACTTTTAAGGGTAGAATGTTTAACAGAAAAACCTCTCTCACAAAATTCTCACAGTTAAAAATGGTCAGAGGTTAGGAGAGTATGAAGCTGCAGCGGGGGAGGCAGCATCACATGTAATTGCAATTCTTTTTCTTCCTTGCGTATCTGCTTAGAGCTATTGTTAGAGACAGATTCCTGTGCTCGATGAAGCACTGGCCTGAACCAGTTTGCTTCTTAATATTTAGAAGTCTCCCAAATAAGAGTTAATAAATAAACTACAGTAGACAATCGTTGTGTCGTCATACCAGCTGCAAATCCTCAAAAATTCTTGAGGCATGACAAAAGGATGGCAGCAGATCCCATGTTTGGGGTGTATGAGTAGAAGAGATGATTTTCCTGGATTTATTCCCGCGTGCACTTTTGCAGAGTAGAACACTGGCTCTGCTGAGAGCCAGTGGCACCACTGCTAACTGATACCAGCTACATGATTTTACCACTTATACGTGTACTATTGCATTTGGCATATAGCTTATTTAAAGTGTTCACAATGCACTTGAGAAAAGGTTTAATAAGGTAGCATTAGCATTTTCTTCAGATGATCTGAGAATAGAAACCTTAAACAGAAAGAGATTCAAAGCAAAACCTGAAAAACATACGTAACATATTCAAGACTTCTGAAAGCATAAAAAAGACACACACTGATTCAGCTGAATTACCTGTATGGAATAAGAAATAAGCTTAACAAGAAGGAAAAACATGTCTAAAAAATACAGATACTTAAGTTTTTAAGTATTTAAGTGCAAATACTGAAATTGTAATTCTTTGTCTGAGACCTAACTTGGCAGTTTACTGTGGTTGGAGCAGCTGACATTGATCTTGGCTTTTTCCCTGTCCCTCTCTCTTTGTAAAGGGAAAACAACTTGTTTACACTTCTTTCTAGAGCTGTATTCTGTCTAGAATCCCTCTGTTCTCAGAAGTCAGAATTGTTTGTGATTGGTCTGCTATTGACTGTCCCATCAGCCAGATTACTCAAAGCCCTTATGGATAAACTCTCAGAACCCACAAGTCATACAGGATTCAAATTTACAGCAGCAAGTATGCATCTCCCTAAAGACAGAGTAAGGGAAAGAGGACTCCTGGTGTGGAAATGCCCCCCATTTACACCATCTCTGTGATGCCTACACTCAACAGCCAAATAACAGAGTAGGATCTCCCTATTTCCTCTCTCCTCTCTTGCCATAACACACCTCTGGCTATTCTGGGTACCCTACAGTCCCATTAGGACCAAAAGAATTGGAATCAACTGCTTGGTAGGACCGGGCCAGTCTCACCACAGTGACACTTTTTCAACAAGCTTCTACATCTGTGATTTTAAACCTGAAGCTCTTTGCTTGTCTTAGATCTCCAGATCCTAAAGGAATTACAGTGTCTGGATATTCTACTGAGGTATATGAATATAGTCAATAGCTTCTCTAAACTAGGCTGAATAAGCAGATAATTTCTGCTGATACAAACTTGAAATCAAAGGTCAGGGTATCTTATCACCCTTTTCTGATAAAAACATCAAATTTGTCATTGGTGTGCCTTGACATTGCAAACTCATTATGTGAGTGTATTTCTGTACTTATGTAAGTGATGACATTAAAGTAAATAGAAACTTTGGAAGTACTTCAGAGTAAGGTATTTATTTGATTAATGGCTTGTATGTTCATCCTCTCTTGAATCTGGCTCAAGCTGAGTCCTACTATTCCCACGCCACTATGCAAATATACAGCTCAAAATTAAAGAAAATAACAGACGTTCCCAGCTGAGCATATTACGGTACATCATATTTTAGACATTATTTACAGTTCAGTATTAGTATTTGAAAACTACAAGCACTGTGTGGATTCATGCCACATGTTTTACACATACTCATCCACATAGAAGCTGCTATGTACTGTATACATGACCTAAATCTAAACATTAAATCAAACATTGAATCAAAAGATACAAAAAATGATCATGGAGTAGGACTGATTGATATCTCTTGCATAATA